TTTTACACAAAAATTACTGAACCAGCTGCAATTCAAGTTGACCTCCTGACTTATGAATAAATTTCCCCTAGAGAAAGGACTACAAAAAAGGTTAATATGTGAAACGTGCCAGAATTGCATAAGCAAATTATAAGCGAATTCTTAAGCTTCCTATAAAAACATATAGTACTTTCTCCCAAAAGAAATTAAATGACTTCAACTTGTTCCAGGAAATCTTATAAACATGGAGGGTCAACTGAATCCACTGGCTTAATTAAATGTATACCAACTAAGACAGTATTACTAAATTGTACTATATCATTCTGGTGCAACAGAACTAGTTAATATTTGTTCATATTGTCAGCTACTTCTATATCATTTTGAGGGGTACTCCTAGTTATTTTTCATTGTTCATGTTTAATCTTTTTATTTTTCTTAAATTGATCATGAAATTCATCAAAAGGCTCTTAGCTACTTAAAAATAATTGTACCTTCCATACCAAAAAGCACTCTGTACTACAGAGGTCTTGAGGGGCACAGAACGAGATTATAAGAGAAGCCTGGTGTGCCAGGAAAGGTCCATTCTAGAGTAAATGCCTTGAATCCTAATGGCTTGCCTGATAATGAGACAACTGGTCCCCGGTCCAGATCACAGCTCACAACCACTTTTCCTAATCTCCATGTCTTTTGGGTGTATCCTACACTGCCATAGACAGTACCTCTTGGCCTATATAGTGATTCTCAGGATGGCAGGTTGTGCTGCCTGTAGTTTCTCCCAACATCCCACTGACCCCAGTCTTGGTTCCTATGTAAGGATCACAAATCTAGGTGTGCTTCGGCAAGCTTTAGCTCTCTATGTCTTTCGAATTTGTGTATATATTTAAACCTCAGGTATTTCTGGAACGCATTTATATGATCTGTGCTATTGGGAGCCAATGAGGTTGACTTATTAGGTAGTATATTTAAGAAGGACATCAATGGAGCTAGTAGTCAAAGCATCTCATCGTTCCTCATATAGTCTTAGGGTAAAGGAGATGATGTTTGTTTCCTGATCCCCCAAAGCTAAAGGCTGTGCACCGAGATTAGGGATCCTGATTTGGGCATCCATTAACCTTCCCAGCTTACTCGGCCATCTAAGTGCCTTTCTCTCAGGTATTATTCCCAAAGAAATTAGCCCCATCTGCCTCCAAAGACAAAGCCTTGAACACTTTGGCTGGGAAGAGTATGGAAAGAATTTTAGAAGGTGTGGAAGGCCTTTGTGAGCTACTTGGGTGGGAACAGAGGCAGGAGGTTTATCTATGTGGCCCACTAGTACCCCCGAATACTTACATATATTGCTAACTTCCCTTAATTTCCCTAAATTATGATCCAAATATGCCCCTGTATAAAATGTATAAATAATATATTCTTCTCAAAGAAGTATTTGTGTAAAGACAAAACAAGATAATTTTTTTTTAAAAGTTGAACTCTGATATGTCCTTTTACTCTATCAGCCATGTGTCCCTGTATATTTAGTATTAAATGCATTTTCCCTCATTTCCTTGAATAAATGGGAAGCTATCTTCTAGGGCAAAGGTTCTAAATTGAACTTTCTGAAATTTGGGGCAATTCATTACGTGAGTTTTCTTAAGAAAAGGGTCAGCATTTTAAATCATAACTAAGGCCAAGGTTAAGGGGGAAAGGGATTTTCTGCACCAGAAAAAAAAATACACAATCACCTGATCGACAGATACTAATTGTATATTTCTAAGGCAAATATATTTTCTGACACATATAAGTCACTAAGGATAATGATAAAACAGGTCATCCTCACCCTCTACACTATTCAGGAGCCTAAGATTTAATATGTGAAACACAATGAAATAGAAAATTAAAATATACAGGACCTTTACTCTATAGTCTTCAAAGGAAACAGTCAAATGAACATGCAGTTCAGGTAATCAGATTGGATTAGAATCATGTAAAAGTCATTATTATCTTAGGACTTGGCAGTTATGGCCATGGGAGTGAATTAAATCAAATGAGGTTGTGCAGGGTAAGAAAAAAAATAAGGGTAGAATACCAGAGGTCACCAACATTTACCCCCCGGATAATGTTAGTAAGAGAGGAGCAGCAAGTCACCTGCTATCAGACCACTGCCATAATTCAATTTAAAAAATATTGATAACACCCAGTAGGCAACAGTTGCACTGGGACCTGCCAAAATAGCAAAGATCGCGGAGGTGGTGGGGTCCTCACTGTCTGGAACTTACAGGCTCACAGGAAATTAGCACAAAATAACAGCAGAAAATAGGGGAAAGCAAGCATGTGATAGATAGAAGAGTGCGGATAGCAAGCAGTATTCACTTCTGTCGTTTGGGTGACACTTTGACTCCATGACTCCTTCTAAATGATGAAGTCAGTGCAACAGCCTCATTAATATGCTCCACTGTACACAAAACTCTCTCATGGTCACCTAAAGGGGTCACAGTGAAAATGGCAGGGAAGGAAACAAATGGCATTTCTAACTGAAATCCTATGAGCAGAACAACCTTTGGGCTTCAAGACAACAGAATATGTGACAGTGGGAGAATGTGGCCCTCGGTAAAATCCCATCCAGGACAATCAAACTACTCTGGAGAAAATACTTACTGAGAGAAAGCAGGCAACAGGAAGGGATACCTTAAGGCAAGCAGAATAAATATTTCTCCAAGTTCTTTGTTTCTCTTGAAATTTTCCAAGGACTATGTCTAAATGGACTTCATGTAGGAGTAGGGTATTACCTCCAAAATCTAAATAAAGGAAATAAATGTGATAACATCTGGGTGAGGAATGTGTGCGTGCGTGTGTGTGTGTGTGTGTGTGTGGTTACTGGACAGTAATATAAAAAAGAATGATAAAAAGAGGATGATATTGGTTTTAGTTTTATACAAAATCAGAATTCACAGCACAATCTAGATCATGAGATCCACTATCAAACATCATTCCTCCACAGGCTATGAGTAGGCCAGACTCACTGTAACTGTAGCACAATGCATTTTGATTTTATAGATTAGAGAATTCCAGAAAAGAACAAGACAATCACATATGAGATGTAAGGAAAGTAGAAGCAGAGCATCCAGCTCCGATCAGGTATGCACTTCTCAGGTCAGTTTGACAAAAGCAGCTCTACATCTGCACGGAAGCTTCTTGGATCAGCAGCTTGCTAGAAGATTTTCTGATAATAAAGCAAGACAATATTAGAGAGAAGCAAAACATTCATTGCCATCCTCTCTCCTCACAGGAAGGGTGAAGAATCTCACAGCCATTTTACTGGTGAAGGATTGTTGAAAAATCTTTTCAATGAAGGTCACGTTATTTGTTATAAATCAGCATCAGCTAGGGTTTTTTTCTAGGGGTGGAACTGAAAGGGTAATGTGAGGATAAATTACATACAGGTGTCCCTTAAAACTATGCTTATAAGTGAGTCCAAAACAGGCACTCTCTGGTCACTACTCAAAACAGAAAATTAAAAAAATCTGATTATGTATTTGAGTTTCAGGAAGAGGACCCATATGCATACAAAGTATGGTAGCTTCTGCACCTATGAGAATCTCTTCCTGTGTGTTCTACCTCTGACCTACTCCTCTTAACTGTCTCCCCAGCCCTTTCCCATTTGATCAGCCTAAAGTTAAGTGACCACTTGGTCCAGAAGTTCACGTTCTTGTGGATTTCATAGTCCACAAAAAATCTCAAAGGGTCATTTGCAGGACCACAAAAAAGGGGTGATGTTTTTACATGGCACACAGACAAACAGGTGGATAGATAAAACTGACTTCCACAATTAAATCCTATATTTATTATTACCGTACCTGCAGAGATGAGGGGACACTCTTCTTAAAGCTGGGAGGACTTAATTTCAAACTAAAGGAGTCCTTCAAAATAGAATAAAACTTAGCTTCTGAAAAACTAATTGAATAATCTTTACTTTCCTCGATTCACAATAAATTGATGAAAACATTTTTGTAAAGCAACACTAGAATAGAGAACTGAGTTTTGCAAAACACATGAATACTATGGTCTCCAAAGCCCCATGACCCTGCCTTCCTAACTCTGTCCCCTGAAATTTGTCCTTGTTACGCTGGGGGATTCATTCTCACACTGCACTAAGGTCAAATATCTTGGCACGTCACAAAAGAGCCCTGCTGTGATTTGACAGCAGCCACCCACCCTCTTCTCCCGTCATGTCCCATTCCCAGCCACTGCCCTGTGCTCTGTTGATTCTCCCTGCAATCGGCCACCAGAAAACTCTATCTTCCAGCAAATAAGGACTTTATAAAGGAAATACCGTAAATCAGTACATTGCTCCTTTATGGAAAAACTCTTGCATTGACAAAGGAAAAAGGAATCAGCTCAGTGACTTATTTACAGCTCTCGATCTAGTATCATGGTCCCAACTTGTAATTCTCTGAATGCTTTGTACAACAGACTTCATTGTGCTTTCTGTTCATCGGTTCCCTCTGCCTGGAATTTCCTTCTTCCTCTAGACCACCTAACAGACATAACTGAGGCTTTTGGGTCCCATTCTCTACAAAGTCTTTCTGTCACCCAGACAGGACACATCACTGACGCTCCCTGCACTATCCAGATGCACCTCATTCCTAGCCCTGTGGTGGCCATTCTTTGGTATACATTGGCTGTTTAATATCCACCTGCATAGTGTGTGGTAGTGCTAAGATACAGGGCCCACCCATTCAGCAAAAATACTGAAGCAGGTGGTATGGTGCAGTTCCTATTACTTCTCCCCTAGAGGGATGATTCAAGGGATTGGTGGCCCCCCAAAAGATATGTCTATATCTTAATTGCTGAAACTTGTGACTCAAAAAAAGGGGTGCAGATGCAACTGGGGATCTCAAGATGAGATCATTCTGTGTTATCCATGTGGGTCCTGTTCAATAGCAAATATAACAGAGAGAAGAGAGAAGACAGACGAAGAGACAGAGGTGGGAGTGATGCATTCACAAGCCAAGGAGTGTCTAGAGAGGTGATGTAAAACCTATGGCTCGAGTGCTACAGCAGGCTATTTGTTATCATTGAAACCCCTAAAAAATTCGTTATCCCTGCTCTAGAGCCACCAGGAGCAGCAAATGGCAAGGAACATTCAACAGGAGCATGGCCCTGCTGATAAACTGATTTAGAATCCCTGTCCTCCAGAGCTGCAAGGGGATACAATTCTATTTCTTTTAAGCCATTTAGTTTGTGTTTACTTGTTACATAGTCTGCAACACACAGATGGCCTCATCATATGACCTAGATTCAGTCTATCAGGAGTTCTCGTTCTGGACTCTGCGTCTAAAACAAGACACTCAAAGGTAAAGGACCCATCGTGATAAACAGCAGCAATTATAGCTCCTGGCCATGGTGGCAGTGCCCTGATCGCAGGATCTCTGCCAGGGCACCCCTTTCCTTCTCAGACTGTCCTGGTCCATGCCCATTCTCCAGCCTACAGTCTCCTGATTCTACACTATTCCGGGTGTATTCCAGAAAATTTTCTTCTCTGATCACGGTGTCCATAACTAATTTCTGTCGATTGTAATTTCAAAATTTGACTAATTACTTTTTTAAAGAACTGTTGATAGTAGTTATAGTTCAGTCCATTCAGAAAATGTGAAAATTCTGAAGAGTATCATTAATCTTCCCGAGAGGGAATCTGGCAGACAACCGTGCACACTGGGTGAAAGCTAACTGAATTAACCACCTAGAGTACAGAGACTGAGTGTCCAAATAAGGCAACGCTTTGGGAGCAACTCCACTGTCACCAGAACTGCACATAAGGCTCATGAAATTAAGAAGGTAGTGAGGCATTTGAATTGCTTATGAAAGAAAAAAATCTCTATAATCAATTCATTCTTTTTAAAAAATTAATTTTACTGGCACATTTTAGGTATACATATACAATACAATAATTCTTAAGACAAGACACAAGCTTGATTCTCTCGGTTTTTTTGTTTTGTTTTGTTTTGTTTTGTTTTTGGTACTGGGGATTGAACTCAGGTCCCTGCGCTTGCAAGGCAGGCCACCGAACTGCTGAGCTAAATAAATCCCTGGTCCTTGATTCTCTTACCTCTTGAAGTTGTAGAAGAACTAGATGGACCATCCAGTGGGGAGGGGTCCTGCTTGGACCACTTCATCTTGAGTCATCTCTGCATAGCCAGCATAGTGTACCCCATTTTCTATGAAGTTGCTCCCATCCTTGAGCAGGAAGGAATCAACCTCAGGCAGGGGGTCTTTTCTGCAGATCTAGATGACTGGATAACAATTCGTCAGTGACCCTGAGGCAGTCGTGGTCAGGGGGCCAGATTCCGAGGGCAAAAAAGTAGCAGGGTTTAAGGTTTTAACTGGAGCAAAATATAAGGGGGGATTTTCACAGATGAGGGCCTGATATTATGTGACTCTATTATTTGAGAGCCATCAATGTCCTGTTATTCAATAGTTCTAAAAGGCATGGGAAAACTGAATAATTTACTTTTTCCTAATGTTATCTGGTCAGCTTTCTCAATTAGCATTACTGCAGCTGCCAGGGCTTTATAAACAAAGGAACTATCTCTTCACAGCTGGATCTAAACTCTAAGATAAATATATCACTGGCTAATTCTATGGGCCTATTCCTTCAAGGAGCACCCCTAAAGCAGTATGATTTCTTTTAGTCAGGTACAAACTAAAAGACTGGGTCACATTTAGGATCCCTGATACAGGGGGGCAGCAGAAATAGTTTTAGCTGTTTAAATGCTGACTCTTGCTCTTTAC